CCATGAGCAGCGAGGAGGAGAGATGCCTCCTGTCGAGCGCCACGGCGCGCCCAGAGGAAGGAAGAGGAGGAGGAGGTGGGGGGGGGGGAGGAGGAGGAGGAGGACGAGGAGGAGGAGGAGGAGGAGGAAGGAGGAGTTCGAGGAAGGATACGCAAGGTTTTTTTTTCAGCGGTTCCGGCCTCTGGAGGCCCAGTTGCGGGGATCCTGGACGTTTCGCGATTTGCCTTCATGGCGTTTGGCCTCTGGGGCCTCAGTTCCGGAGATCCAGGACCATTCAATATGTATACATCTGTATGTACTTGTATGTACTCGTTCACTACAACCATTACAACTACTACTTCCACTACGACTACTACTACTACTACTACTACTACTACTACTACTACTACTATTACTACTACTACTTCTACTACTACTACTAGTACTACTACGACTACTACTATTACTACTACTACTACTACTACTACTACTACTATCACTACTACTTTTGCTACTACTACTGTTACTATTACCGCTGTTCCTGCTATTGCTGCTGCTGCTGTTGCTGTTGCTGCTGCTATTGTAGCTATTGCTATTGCAACTACTGGGGTTGCCACTCCGACTGTGCCTGCAATTGCCGTTGTCATTGCGATTGCCATTGCGAATGCGACTGCGATTGCGAAGGCATCAGAATTCTATAACAGGACTCCTACATGCATCTCAAAAGGAATGCTCCCAGATATGCTTCTACACATCGTTGTTAGGTTGCTTTGCCGGAGTAATCTATTGCGCTCACCGTGGATGGGCGCCGTACTTGGCGCATTCGAGACAGTAGTGATGATGGGTTGCGTCGCATTTCGCTCAGGTCCAGCGTCGGCGACGCCAGCAAGAGGATCATCTCTCATATTATGGCTGCTGTTTCGGCGTTGTCTGTCCCTGACGAGGTCAAAACCTTCCGATGCGGCTTCCGGCAGTTGGACGCGCATGTCGAATGCGCATTGCAAGGGTACGTTGTGTGAGTCCACGACGTGGTTTGTCTCGTCGGCGGGCGGGATCGAGCAGCGGCAGGGGCGGCGTCGACACTTGCGTCGACCCTCGTTCGAGTCTGGCACGCCGAGCCCTGGGTGTTGACAAGGCAGCCCCAATTTGTCATGTGTGCCCTTGCTGACACGTTGGGCATTATGGGCATTCGTTCGGGCTGGCTTCGTGGGGGCCAGCGCAGTGGCGCTGTACTGAAGGCGGGCATGATCTTAGAGGGGCCTCATTTGACATCTCTGTTATGCCATCTTCGCCAATATGGTGAACACCACGCGCAGGCGCTGCGCGACTTGTTTCGTTTGCAAGCAACCGCTGTCACTGACGCGTCCCCTACGGCATCTGGATCCGTCATCTACCAATCGCGTTGCAATGGAAAGAGATACGTTGGTCAAGCGAGGTTGTCCAGATCCCGAGGTGCATCAGGAGCTCGCCCGCGATTTGGGCAACGCGAGAAGAACTTCCGACGCTTGCTATCTGGCTTTTTGACTCGTGAGGTATGTTCGGAGATTCGCCGTTACAAGGTTCTGGCAGCTGGTGGCCCATGGCTGCACGTCGCGTTCGCCGCCATCGACCCCGCGAGCGAGGCGGCGCACCGCGAGACTGCCCGGACTCACGCGTGCAAGCCTGAGGCGAACAATGCGCGTTGTTTCGATGCCCCCAGCGAGCCCGTCCAACGATTGCAGCAACGTCGCCGACGCGGTCTTCATCGTCCAGTACCTTGTCAACGTGCTTCTTTCGCTGCCCGGCGCATTCAGCGTGAGAAGCAACGCCGCGGTCTCCTTCCCGTTGCAGCGCCCGCCGTGTGCATGAAGATGGCGTTGGTGAATTGTTGTGTACGAGTGCAGTTTGGTTGGGCCAATGCGAAACGACAGTTTGCGGATGTCACGCGCCGGCCGCGTGAGTCCCATGACCAGCTGCATTGGCAATGCCAGGATTTTATGGTTACTTCTGGAAGCTGCGGCGTGACGCATGGGCCAGTGTCCACATATGGAAAAGGATGTCCTTGGTGATTGTTCCGGTACGCTGTTCATGCGAATGGGAATATCGATTGGTTCGTTTTCTTTGCAGCACCTCAGAAGCTGAAGGACTACTTGTATGTCGTTTGGAAATTGTTGCGGCGTGTACCTTTCCGGCATGATATGTTGCGCGCGCTGCGTGATTTCGTCTTTCCTGAAGGACGTTGGGTTGCCGCTTCCAGGAGCATGCCAGTTACCTGACCATCGCCCTTTTTTGGCCTTGCTGTCCGAGATTACCGGGCGGTCACGCGCAAACATGCGGCGATGCATTTACCGATGTTGGCGGCGAGAATTCGCCGAAGCACGAGTTTCACAAAGACGATCTCACCGACATGGCGGACTGCCCTCATGAACGTGCAATCGAGGCTTCGACAGTTTCGTTTTTCTTCGCTGGCGGATTTGACCACTCACGAGTTGCAGTCGGCCGTGGATGGGATGGATATGTTTCGTTTGGATGCATCTGCGAAGCTGCGCATTTTTAAAAACTCCCAGCACGAATTGGTCACGCTTCAACGCCGAGAGTGGCGATCTCGGTTGTCCCGGGTTGGACTCCGCGGGATGTCAGCCACCCCTCGAAAAGTTTGCATGGGGCCAAGATTGGAGTGGAGCGCTCGCCTGATGCAGCGGAAAGATACGCAAAAGTTGCTTTGCCTTTTCTCGTTCTTCAAAACTTCTCCAAGGCGGCCTCGAATGCGAAAGAATATGTTGTCACATGCGAGGACAAGGATCCTTCAATATTATGGGTATGTCGCGCCCGTGCCTGGGTCATTCGCACGGTTTGTTTGCTCAGCCCCGATCGTTGGCGCCTACTTGTGCAAGGGAGTGAGAGCACTGTTGCTCATGTGCTGGGGGTGTTCCGGGCAAACCAATCGACGTCGACGCCAAGAAGCCCCCCCCCCGTCCGCCACCCGATTTTCTTTTCAACATCTCCCGTACGTTTACTGCACGGCGAAGCTGAAGCGTTGGTCTCCATCTGTCATTGGCACGGGCCCTGGGCAGACAAAGCGCCGGCGTCAGAAGTAAGGGCGTTCCTGCCTTAGAAATGCGGTGTCTTTGCGCGGTTGCCCGCGCGATAGTTCTTCAGACGCGTTTCGCGGGCCGTGAACTTCCTGGCATCTAGCTTCATGCCGGGCTGGGAACTCACAAGCATGAAAATGCTGGCGCCGAAGATCCGCGAGGGCTTATGCAAGCTGACGCGCTCCCAGGGCGCCCAGAGCCAATCGTCGAACCCGCCATCAACATGGAGGTGCGTGGTGCGCAACTCTGCCATGGCCGGCGCTGCTTCATGCCAGCGTGACGCCGACCAGGCGTTTGGGTGCGTGGACCCGCGTGTTCAGCAAGAGGCGACTTCATGCTTACTCCGATAGGCAAGAGCTGCTGGAGTGGACATGGTCACGGTCAGGCATGCGCCGTCGTCGTTTACGTCTTCATCCGCATCCAGAGCATCCAGAGTTCACTTGGGAGGAAAACGTGGACAGAACAATCCTTCAGAGACTACGTATTCCATTGATGTTATCTCAAAGTCCCTCGAAGCATGCGGTAATATACGATATTACCGGTTGGGCGACGCATTCCTCAAGCAGCTCGTTGGGACGCCGATCGGTGCACCTTTCAGTCGTTGTAGTTGTCTGTTGCGCTTTCCTATCGCGAGTACATTTTCGACACGGTTGTATGGCCGCATATATGTACGACTTGCATTATCCAGGGCAGCCGGGACGACTTCATTCTCGCACTGCGATATGTTGACGATGTTTTGTTGGTATCGCTGCTCCTTTTGTAAAACATGTTTGAGAGACATGGTACAGGTTATGTTTGCCACGTGGTGTGCTTCGAAGAATCTGAACGCGCGTGGTCAATCCTGTTTTTGGACGCGTCCCTGCATTTTTCACGTTGGTTTGTGCGAGTGCTCAACACGTTGCGCACGGTACGCCCACAGTGGCGAACCCTGCCATCGACCAAAGTGCAGGCTGCAGCCGTATTGTTGGGAGCACTCGGAAGCCGCATTGCCCCATATGTTTTGCACTATCCTCGGAAGGTTGGCACGGCTTTCGCAACATGGAGTCTCGCGGGCTGGTTTGTTTTGCGTTGTCGCTGAGGATATCTTGGAAAGCGTGTGGGATGGATACCCGATGCACTTCGTGGGTCGGGCGTGGTCCAAGCTGCCCATAGACCACGTGGCACGCTGGTACGCCCTGTCGTTGTCGTCAGTCCTCCGGCCCCTTTTCGACCAGGTTTTGGTGGCACCGGCGATCACGACAACTCCACATGCAGCGGTGGGCACAGGCTATGTTGCTATGGTCTGGGATCCACCCACCCAGGCTTTTCTGGGAGAGTATTGAGATTCTTTCGCAGGTTGATCTGTGGCAGTCATGGCGTACGTTGGAATGGTTTATGGGTTGCCCTTCAAGACCGCACGTGCTGCACACCCAGCACGATCACGCGTCCGTTGCAGGGGATGTTCAAACAGGCGTAGTGGCAGGTTTTGTCTTGTATTGTGCTGCGGGTGAGGGGTTTGACATTTCCGAGGGGTCAGAGGTCTTCCAGCGAGTGCGTCGTGCAGTCAACTAGGCATGATAGCCACCATGTAGCGTATATCGTAGATGTTGTGTGTAGTTGTATCTCATGTGTTGTCTGATTGTTTGTTGCCGTTTCAGCTTGCAAGGGTTTTCTCGGATATATGCACTGGCGCCGCTAACGCGGCTGGGAAGCTGCAGCAGAGGACGCTTAAAGATCACCTGGCCCTGCCAGTGCCCAAAAATCCCACTAGCGTTGATTCATATCGAGGCCCCTTCATTAAGTGAGGGACGTCCAGGCCATGACTATTCTCAAGTGGTTGTGGTCGTAATCACCTTTTCTCTGAAGGAGGGGGAGGAGGAGGAGGAGGAGGAGGAGGAGGAGGTGGAGGAGGAGGAGGAGGAGGAGGAGGAGGAGGAGGAGGAGGGCTTCTCGTCCTCCCCTCCTCCCCGCTCCTCCCCTCCGCCCGCGCGAGCGGGAGGCGTGCACTCCCCTGGCGCGCAGCCGGCGCTCCAGCCTTTTTTTTTCTCTTCGTTCAAGGCGCCAGCCCAAAGGGAGGCCCTGGCCGTGTGCCCTCAGGATAGGGGAGCGAAACGTGGCATAAACATAAAAACTCGGAGGGTCCGCGCGGATTTCTCGGATCGGCGCTGGACCCCCCTCCTTGGCGCGCTACGCGCGCCAGGGGCGGCGCCGGAGGCGCAAGGGGGGTCCAGTGCGGATCCGAAAAGCCCGCGCAGACTTCGGAGTTTTCTGTTGATGCCAGTTCTCGTTCCCTTATCAAATCCCGACGTCGCCGCAGACGATCGTGGGGCCGCCGGCCCCGGGAGACCCCCTGGGGCCCACGCCACGAGCGGCGGCGCTGGAGGAGAGGGCAGGCCCACGGAATTCGAGGCGAGCGCAGATGCAGAGGCCCTGCTGGAGTCTGCTGTGGGACGCGGCGAAGAGCTGCTCCCACATATCTGCGGGTGGGGAGGGAGAGGTCCTCCTCCTCCTCCTCCTTCTCCTCCTCGGTGGGTGGGTGGAGGGGGGGGGGGGAGGCAGTTGCGGACCCGCCATATACGTTGTCCCGCCACGTATGCTGTCCATGGTTGTGTGCAAGCAGATGCGAGCTGCCTTGATGAGGGAAGTGTAGGAGCACGCAACTGGAACAGAGAGAGGGGGGCGCAACGCTTTCGCGGATCTTTTGACACGGGAGTTCAGTTGCGGTTCATTGGGCCATATTGGGGCCTTGTTGGAGCTGTTTGGGGCCTTCTTGTTGTGGTCATCAAGGAGGCCTTTTGATCGATCAACAAGGGGCGGCGTTTATTGCGATCCCCTCCTGTCGGAGCTCCTTTTACCTCTGGTGGCGCTCTTGGGATCGTGTTGGGGGCCTTATTGGGCACCCCTTGGGGCTCGATTGGCAAATATTGTCGGGGGCGGCAAAGAGGGGGGTGATGACTAGGGGGGTGGATATCATGGCGTCGGCCATGATATGTCATCAGACTTCGTGGCGCCTCTTCTTATTTCATTACATTCCTGGTCCCCCCTCCCTGGGCCGCGCACGCGCCGCTGGCCATGATTTGCGCCCTCTCCTCTTGGACGTCCCCCTCATGGACGCCCCCGATATTGGGGTCATCTTGAGGCTCCAGGCGCCCATCGGAAGCGAACAGGCGAGAAGGCCAGTGGTTGACTTGTTTGGGGCTCTCGGAGGCGCCCTTGGGGGTCGAGGAGGCCTCTTGGAGCCGTCTTGGAGCTGCCCTGCGGCCTTCTGGAAGCGTGTTGTAAACATGTGGAGCAATATTGAGCTACCCTCTCGTGCCACCTTGGAGGCAATCTTTGGCTACTTATCTGATGCCACCTTTGAGCCATATTTGACCATCTGGGATGTTCCAGCGACCTGCGAAGCCTTGGTCCCGAGCCCAGGGGAGGGGATGTGGAGAGAGGCCGAGCTGCCTACAAGCCGTAAGCCGTCTTGCTCCTTCCCCGCCATCCCAACACATAAGTAGTACCACAGTCTCAGCAAATTCAGCGGTCGCAATTGGATGGACAGCCACCGGGAAGCAACACGGACGCTGGCGATGTGCGCCACCATGCGCACCAGGTGCGCGAGTCGCCTCAGGGACCCGCGTGCCAGGCGCGCCTTGTGCGCCAGATGTGCAACGGGCGCCGCATCGCATCGGGCAGCATGTCGACCACACACTCCTGTCAATGACCGAGGCCACCGTGGTGTATGGCACGTGCATTGGGTTGTTGATGGGGATGGTGGGCCGCGAACTCCCGTTAATGCGAGGCCCACCCCCCACCATCCCTGTCAAGCAACAAGACACATTGGCCGCGGGGCGCCCGAGGGTTGCCTTAACATCAACGTTGTACGGTTGCTCATGAGGGAGAGAGAGAGAGAGAGAGAGAGACGGAAATTGTGAGGGAGAGAGAGAGAGAGGGAGAGAACAGAGAGACACACGTGTAGATCAATACATTTAGAAAGAGAGAGAGAGAGAGAGAGAGAGAGCAAGAGAGAGAGAGAGAGAGAGAAAGAGCGGGAGAGAGCGAACCAAGAAACAGTCAGAGCAAGAGAGCGGGAAAGAGAGAGAGAGAGAGGGAGGGACACAGACACCGAGAGAGAGAGAGTGTGTGTGTGTGTATGTGACTGTATGTGCGTGTGTGAGATTTTATGTACAGGGTTCGGGCCCCTCCACACTTGGCACATGAGGATGATGGGACAGCATGAGGGGTGTACGGAGGAGGAGGACGAGCAGCAACAGGAGCAGCAAAAGAAGGACAGGACGGGTGAGATGCGGACAAGGAGGATCATGAGAAAGAGGAGGAGGAGGACGATGACGGCAATGAGTGTGGGGTGGGTCTTGGCGAGGGTGGCAGCTTGCGAAACGCTGCTCCGTGCTGGCGCCCAGCCCTGCCAGGCTGCGCTTGCTCGCAATTCGGGGGGGGGGGGCAGAGCACATCCAGTCGCCCACCCGCAAGGGGGAGGAGGGGGAGCAGGCGAGGAGGAGAGGAGCAGAAGAGGGAAGAGAGACGGAGAGAAGAGGGAGGGGGAGAGGAGAGGAAAGGAGATGAGGAGAGGAGGGATGGGAAGAAGCAGGTTCATAAGCAGAGGCTGGGGGGGGGGTCTCCTGCAGGAGCAGGAGAGAGGAGGGATGCGAGAGGATGTGGGGGAGTCTGTGCAGGGAGGTGGAGGAGAAGACGCTCCCCCTCTCCTCGCCTCTCCCTTCATCATCCCCTCCTCTGTCGTTCGTTATCATCTTCCTCGTCTCCTCTTTCTTTCTTTCTTTCTTTTCATCTCTCTTCTGTCACGAACCTCTCTACTCTCTCCCTTCTTCGTCCGCGTCCCGCCTATGTTCTTCCTATCTCAGCTGCAGGAAGGGAGTATTTGGAGGTGGTCACGGCCTGGCCCCCCTTCCCTTAAAACAAGCATCGTCAGTACCCCCAGGACGCACTCGAGGAATACGAGAACGAGCTGCGTGGCGGCCCCGTGGATGCGGCCGCGGCCCCGGCGATGGCGCTCAAGACTGCGAGCCGCTGGTGGCCTCGAGTCGTCCGACACTGAACGAACCGCCTTGTTTTGGAAGGCCGCGATTGTTCAAGGTGGAACGATCCACGCGGTGTCAGACGCCATCGCCGACGTCGTCGTGACATGCATTTGTCGTAGATGTGCGTGTGCTCTGCCTCCCCCCCCCTCCCAGCTGCCACAGCTTCTGGAATACAATCTCTTCGCGCGGTTCGAACAGCGAAGAAGCTGTGTGTTTCTTCCTTGGCACTGGCTGGGGTTATCATCCCAGACAGCGTTTGCATTTATATTTTTGCACGCAGTGCTTACGCTCGGGAGGATCCGATATGATCGATCAGCGAAGCCAGTGTGTCATTGTGCGTTGCACGGACGTCGACTCCCTCGCGTCGTGAAAGAACCAATGACGGGATGCGGTTCTTGGCAATGTCTGACTCCAGGGGCTCTCACCGGGACCGTCAAGCATGTGTTCGGATGAAACGCTAGCCCTGGGTTCGGGATTCCGGGGGTTCCCATATTGCAAAAACAGGCATCGGAAGTTTGGAGATACGCGATGGAGCCACAAACGGTTACGAGAAGAATGGAGTGATACGTTTTGGCGAGTGGGTCGCCCATGCTTTCTCAAGCTTCTCATTTGGAGTCGGCACCCTCCCGCAGTGGTATCCGATTAAGTCTCGTGCTGGTTGAGGCCGCACTGTTGCCTCCCTGCATCTAGCCGTTCGAGCCCTGCGGTCCAGTGTCGGAGGGCGCCAGCTGTGAACTTGCAGCGATCCTGGCCCGGCGCATCCCTGGCCCATGGTGGGTGCACACTGGCTGAGAACAACCTCCGTCTTGGAGTGCACCCTCCTGGTCTTCGCGGTTGTGCTTTCCACGTTGGAACACGTTCGTTTGGGGCACCCTATTGGGGCCCTGGGCTTCCGGCAAAGCTGCCCATGGTCTTGATACGTGCACCTGTGCCCCTGCTTCTGATGCACGTTTTGTTGGCCTGCCCAGACATGCGGCGTTGGGTTTTTTTCACAGCGTTGTTCCTCAGAGGTCTGGACCCCTTCCAGGGGACCCACGTTCCATCCCGAGCCACCTTTGGGCCCTTGGAGGCCGAAATTGTCCGGAAACCTGCCGTCGCAATGTTACCTCAGCCACGCGCAGAGGGCGGTGGGGGAAGGGGAGGGCTTCTTAGAAGCACTCCTGCTTCTCAGAAGGCGCGGGCCTTATCTATAGATGTAGGGCGGGCGCGTTCTAAGAAGCAGCCTCCTGAGAAGCCATCCTCCCTCCACCCCCTTGTGAGCGCCGCCAATTGAGCGACGCAAGAAAACGGGAACGGCTGAGCCGGCATTGCCACGTAAATTGCCCGCAGATGGTCGCGCGTGAGCGCCCTCGTCTCCAATGTGGCGTGCCGCGCTGGCGGCCCGCGCAAGCCACCGCAGAAGCTCGCTATGTGCATGAGGCCCGTTTTGTTCGTCGCTCAGTTCTTGCGACGCGAGCACGTCAGAGAAGTCGGGCGAAGAGAACATACACATGCACCGATCCTGGCAAGGCCCACCCTTGACCCAGGATCGCTGCATATGCCTCACTCGCCGAGGTAGGAGGGCGTATGCACCGATCCTGGGCTCAGGACGAATATTCAAACATAGTTTAGCAAATATAGTCTGGGGACGACTGTTCTTTTTTGTTTGATAATTTTCGAATATGTTTTTAGTGTAAAAGTGTTCGTCGAGAATCGGCCTGTAGGGGGACATGCCAGACCTAAGTGTATGTGCATCTTTCTCTTTCCTCCAAGAAGGCGGGGTCGCACGCAGGGGGGCGAGAGAAAAGGCAGCCGCGCTCCGGCGCACCGGGGCCCTCGCGGCTAGGGGTCAGCCGTGCGCCTCGCGGGGGGTGGGCTCAAGGGGTGCCCGTATATCGGGCGATCGCACACCTGGATCAAGGGGGCGTGGATTAGCGACGGGTCCCGTTTCCATCGGAAATCTCGGATTATCCGTAAGGGCTTCGCCCCCTGCCGCCGGCCCCCTCTCTCGGATAATGGGCCATGGAAGAGCTAAGTCATGAGGCCTTGGCGCTGTCGTGAAGCAGTATCGAAACTTCATGCGAAGCCGATTCGCAATCAGCAAAACCAACTGATCACAAGAGGGGTTACCACACCTGGCGATTGGTAAGACGTGTATGGTTTACGGGCTTGGTTACCACACCTTGCGATTAAAGGGCCGAGGGAGTTCTCGCAGTTTGGGTTACCACGCCTTGCGATGGATGTGCGTGAGGGGTGGCACCGAATTTCAGAAATGTGGCAAATCCCCTGTGTTTTTGGACCCTGACCCCGCGGATCTGCGTGAGGGGTGGCGCCGAATTTCAGAAATGTGGCAAATCCCCTGTGTTTTTGGACCCTGACCCCGCGGATCTGCGTGAGGGGTGGCACCGAATTTCAGAAATGTGGCAAATCCCTGTGTTTTTGGACCCTGACCCCGCGGATCTGCGTGAGGGGTGGCACCGAATTTCAGAAATGTGGCAAATCCCATGTGTTTTTGGACCCTGACCCCGCGGATCTGCGTGAGGGGTGGCACCGAATTTCAGAAATGTGGCAAATCCCCTGTGTTTTTGGACCCTGACCCCGCGGATCTGCGTGAGGGGTGTCGATTTCGAGCCCCCCCAGCAATTCAGACAACGCGCCCAGGAGACGCTAAAAATCCTGTTTGGGCCTCCCCCCCCCTCGCGCGGTCAATCAACTAGTTACAGTAACCAGCAAGAAGCAGAACTGTAACACTGGAAACTACAAGCTACAACTGGTACAGGAAACTGCGAACCCGCGCCTACAGCCTGGTGGCCCCACAAGGGGGCCGGCGGATTGCCTCCGAGCGAGGCTGCACCAGCCGCATTTGGGGGAGGGCACCTCCCCCGATCCATGGATTCGGCGACCGCGCGCCAAAGCCATGGATCGCTAATCCATGTTTGCGCGCCCCCGAGTGTAGCGTTCCGGCCGGGCGCCCGCCGGGGGGCCCGAAGGATGGCCCGCAAGCCAGGCATGCCAACGCCAGGGAAACCCAGACACGCTCGCGGCGTGGAAAGACATCGTGCGGGAGGTTTTCTGCCGTCTTTGGCCTCGGGGAGCTCTCGCCGGGCCCCGGGGCTGTCAGAAAACGATTCAGGATGAGAAACCAGTCCTGGGGAAAGGGTCCTGACTTCCGGGGGCCGCGTATTGAACAAATCCAGACGTCGCATCAGCAGTTGGAGAAGGAGCAGCAGGAGGAGGAGGAGGAGTGCAGTGTAGCGCTGATGCCCTGAAGGGTAGGCGTGACGCTTGGTATGTCGGGTGGGGCACTTGGGCTCCCCCATCCTCGATCGTCGGTGCCAGTGAAAGTGGCGAAGTCCCACAGTAGCAGGAGGATGAGCCGCAGCAGGAGGAAGAGCAGGAGGCTGAGCAGGAGGCCGCTGGGAGGAGGGGGAGGAGAGGGAGAGATTCTGACCCTGATCTCTTCGCGTCGTGAAACACGACTGCTGGAGGTTTGCCATCTTCGGCCTCTGGGGGCCTTCATTGGCCCCCTGGACCGTCAAACGAAGCTCTGGCATGAACGAACGGTCCCCCGGGAGAGAGTCGGGACTTCCCACAGGACCCCGTGCTGGCAAAATATGGGCATCGCTGGGCGTCGCGTATGGGGGGCGATAAAGGGGGGCGGGGCAGCGAGGGCTGCCCCCCAAACAAGGGACCCTTGAGGGCCCCTCAAGGGGCCCCTTCACTCACAAGCCATACGCCGTCCGGCGCGTGGGCAGGAAAACAAGGTCAAGAAATCACAGACAGCAATGGGTGAAACGCTGCGCCGGCTAAATTGATCAAGAGGAGGAGGAGGAGGAGGAGGAGGAGGAGGAGGAGGAGGAGGAGGAGAAGGGGGAAGGCGCGCCTGCCAGGGCTCGCAAGCATCAGAACTCGTCGACGTGGTCCTCCACGAACTCCCGCCACCGACGGTCGTCCTGCACACAGTCGAGCAGTATCTCGCTCGTCGCAAAATGACCGTGGACATTTTTGATGTAAACACGTGGCCCAATCGCTCTTCGGCCGGCCCCTCCTCCGATGGAGCTGCGCTGCTGCGGGCAACACTGCCCCCAGTTGCAATGTCAATGCTCTCAGGATGTCCTGGTCTCCGACCCTGCCCAATTTCCCGAACCAGAAAAGAGGCCTTCAGGGCCCGAGAAGTGCACCTTTCTCAGGAGGGAAAAAGCACAGACACAATGAATTGTCGATTCCCGCGAAAATATAGGAAAATATGGAAGTGGGGGGAAGACAAAAGGCCAGACAATATAGGAAAATATTGGGAATCCTGTTATTTGTGTTTATTTCTTCGTGTGTCCCAGGGCCCCTTCACTTTGTCCCCCCCCCCCGCCCCCCACTGATCACCCCCCCATTACCCGCCGGTCGTTGAAAGTATTTGTTGTTTGGATGCCTGGGTTCCGAATTTCTCTAGCCGCCTTCCTACTTCAAGAGTCGAGAGGTTCCCCTCTTCTCTCTGCAAGGGGCGGGCGGAAACCCACTCTACGTCCGACGCCTTCCTGCCTCATAGTTGTATCTACTTCTTCCGACCGACGGGCAAGCGACGCCCAACATCGGACGCTTCGGTGCACCGACCCTGGGCCTGCAGGAAGGGCATGGCCAGGCTCGCTGCTCAGCGGCTGCGTAGGGTGATGTGGGGTGACGGTGAAGAAATGCCCGGGGGCCTAGCACGCAGCAGCTTCCATGGCCTCGCTCGGACGTGTGCATTTCCCGGCCAGGACCATCGAGGAGCATCTGGAAGCATCGAGCAGCGGAAACGCGCACAGCACCAACACATGCACGGGGAATGGACGTCCGAACGATGGCAGGCCTTCCTGGGCGCTGATTGATAGATCGTGTTCAGGGGCCCGCTCGTGGGCGTCGTCCTCTCCAATATCCGTCCGAGCGGCAGAAACTCATCGAGCGCGTTCTGCTACTCGCAAAGTGCCTTACTCGCAAACGTCCGAAAAACAAATGCCTGCCTCGACGTAATGTATCGCAGATTCCCCATGGCGGATCCAGGCCTTTTGCGAGTATTTACTTTGAGAGTAGTGGAACGCGCTTGTCCAGAAACTGTGCTTGCTACCATTGCTCCCCCGTGCGCTTCTTTTCATCGTCCTACTGTAAGGCTGGCGCCCTCCCACCCTAGGAGAGCACGGAGTCCCCAGGAGAGCACGGAGTCTCGCC